GACCCGGGGATCACGACCTGAGCTGAAATCAAGAGTTGGCCACTCAACCAACTGAGCCACCCAGGTACCCCTGGTTTATCTTTTTTTTTTTTCCTTTTTTTAGAGAGAGAAGAGGAGAATGAATTTTAAAAGCGCACAAGGAAGCTTTTGTTTTTATGAATCAAAACGTCCAAATACACATTTTAAACATGCGCATTTTAGTCAATTATACATCAGCCAAACTTGAAGTCACAAATACTCAAATAGTGTCACTCCCTGATCACTTTACTGTTTTCGTATCGCATAAGGTCTGGAGGCCATCTGTGGGTACTCTATCAATAGGGTAGAAATAGAATGGCATGCTACTGCCAACTTTTCCCAACCCCGTTTGGGGACATCATGTCGGCAGTTTGAAATTGGTCATCGTGGGAGAACTTATACCAAGAAAGTCAGCAAATGCTAGAAACTAAGGCTTAATTTATCATATTATTGAATACAATATATGGAATGTCTACGCCTAGAAAAGTGACAGAGGGGCGCCTGGGTGGCTCAGTCAGCTAGGCGTCCCACTTCAGCCCAGGTCATGATCTTGCGGTCCGTGAGTTTGAGCCTCCCATGGGGCGCTCTGCTGTCAGCCGGCCGTCAGCAGAGAGCCCGCTTCAGATCCTCTGTCCCCACTCTCTCTCTGCCCCTCCCCTGTACATGTGCATGCGCTCTCTCTCGAGAATGTATTAAAAATATAAGAATAAAATAAATATTTTAAAAAGTGATGGAAAGTATGCTAATAAATCGTATAGGTGGCTACTACCTTGTGCATATCCCCCCAAAGAGAATACCCATAAAGAAAAAATGACAGAATATTCTTCGAGTACTCAAAAACAACTATTCCATGCAGCAAAGAAGTTGCCCACATTACTGAAGAACAAAGAATATTCCAACCTAAGTCTGTTTTGTTTCATCTTATTTGTTACTAAACGGAAAATAACCAAATTTCATAAGAGAGAAAATAGTCCACAGGTAAGAAGAGGCAGTTTACTAAAAAAGATAAACAGCAAACACATGAAATAATGCTCAACACCATAAATCCTTAGGGAAATACAATGAAAACAAATGAGATAACAATACTTATTTTAAAAAGGTGAAATTAAAACGTCAATCTTACCAGGCACTGACAAGGGTGAAGGAGTTGGAAGTCTCACACGCTGCTGGTGGAAATGCAAAAAGACACAACCATTTTAGATCACTGCTTGGCAATTTTTAAAAAGGAGTTAAATATCTACCTACCCCATGACTCAGGCAGTGCACTAGGAGTCATTAAAATAGGAGAAATGAAACACATATCCATATAAAGAATTATAAACAAATGTTTACACCAGCTTTATCTGCAAAAACTCAACACTGGAAATAATCCAAATATCCATCAACAGATGAACGGATAAATGCAGCTGATGACACATCAAAGAGAAAGCTACTCAGAAATTAGAATAAATGATTCATACAGGCGCCATTTAGGATTCTCAACGCCGCATCAAGAAAACAGAAAAAAAGAGCAAACACTTTATGGTTAATCATAAAATTCTAGAAAATGCAATCAATTTTCATTTTTTTTTAAACATTTATTTTTGAGACAGAGCATGAACAGGGGAGGGTCAGAGAGAGAGGGAGACACAGAATCTGAAGCAGGCTCCAGGCTCTGAGCTGTCAGCACAGAGCCCGACGCGGGGCTCGAACTCATGGACCGTGAGATCATGACCTGAGCCGAAGTCAGACGCTTAACTGACCGAGCCACCCAGGCGCCCCAAAAAATGCAATCAATTTTAAAAGAATGCAAATCAATGGTTGCCTGGAGGGCCAGAGAGAGATTATAAAAGGGAGAAAGGAAAACATGCAGGTGACAGACATGCTCATTATCACTGCTAACAGTGACGGTTTCCTAAGTGTACACAGGTCAAAACTTACCATGCTGTAATGCTTTAAATACGTTCAGTTTAGTCTATGTTTATTATGCCTTAACTTAATACAGCTTTCAGAAGTGGTTCACAATAAAAATCCAAATCTCCCACCCTTCGGAACATCCGGTCTGGGAACTCTGTATTGACTCCACTGTCTCACTCATGCCTGAGGGTCAGCCTTTCCTCAGTGGCGGTTAATACTGGCCAACAGTGAAAGCCATTTCCACCAGAGTAAGGGCATTGCTAGCTGGGTCACAATAGTCATATCCCCAGAGTACAGGATCTCCCTTCTCCCCTGCCTTCTTAGGTTGACTGTACAGCAACGGCCTTGAGGTTAACAGCTCAGATTGGCTACAGGAACCCACGAAACCCCTGGTCTGCCAGTGACTTCAGCTACACAAGATAAACCCACCTGGAGATCCTGAGATTTCTGTACACTCGCAGCCTGCAGTCACCGAAACACCTGTGGGTGCACACCCGGGAGAGGCGCACTCCATGTACCCTGCGGCAGTCTCCTCCATGCTCTATTGATAGTGTTTCTGTGCCAATTATGGGTTCCCTTGCCCCTGCAGTCTTACAGCCAGCGACACTGGCCTACTGAGCTCTGGGTATCAGGGTGCACAGCTCCTCTGCAGGACCTGGGGCTGATTTTCCTCAGCACTGCTGGGCACTGAGGTATCCCGTGAACAAGGAAAAATTCACGTTGTCTCCAAAAGCACGGGTGTTGTCACAACTGCCCCTTTCTCAGGGTGACCTCTGGCATCCAGGCAAAAACTCAGGACCACAGAGCAGTCTTTCCTAGGAGGTCCTGGCAGCAACGCAGACTATGATACAACTGGAGAGCACTACACTCTACCATCACACTGTCCCTTCTGAGGCACCCAACGTTTGCATCCCCTCACAACTTTCCACTTCAAGTTGGCAGTCCTTCAAGCTACCCTACACTGTGGACAGAGTTTCTAAGATTAAAGGTGCTTAAACAGAAAGGCCTTTATTATTGCACAAACCAGCCAAAGCTGTGCGAGTTTCCGGTTCAATGACTTGGAAGCTGGAAAACCTCATCAAGAGCACTCCCTGAGACCAGTTAGATCTCTCAAAAAGCTAGTTCTTCTGCGCAGGCCATCAGCAGAACCCAGATAGTGTTCTAGAGGCCAACAGAAGGTCAAGTCCATGTGCTAACTTGTCAAGAGAGAAGGGAATGAAGATCTCATAAGGCTCAGGATACTCTTGATTTCCTCTAGCACATGGGAGAGCAGACGTCAGCTTTGACAAGCAGACCAAGGTGACTGACGCACACTGTGGGGACTGGTCACGTGGTAGAGCTGAAGTGGCTGCTGCCACTGAAACTGGCAGTGACATCAACCTGGCAAGGAGCTTGGACAGGTTGTACGTGCTTCCCGCATAACTGAAACTTACAGGGAAATCTCCAGTCTGTAGATGTTTTCAGATCTATAAAATTCAGTTCAGGCAGATGGCTCAAGAGGCTTTCCTCCACCACAATTAAACTAAGTAAGGAAAGGGCACATTCTCTGCATCTGTTTCACTTTGTGTGAACTCTTTGGTGTTGACTGAGCTCAGTTTGCAGCTAAAGGATTTCTCATTCACTGCAGGTGAGCTCTCCTATGTCGAAGGAGGCCAGAGCTCTGGCTAAAGGATTTCCCACACTCATTGCACTCATAAGGCTTTGCTCCAGAGTGAACTGTCTGGTGTCGAACAAGGTGGGTTTTACGGCTGAAGGATTTCCCACATTCACTGCATTCATACGGCTTTTCTCCAGTGTGAACTCTTTGGTGTTGAATGAGGACAGATTTCTGGCTAAAGGATTTCCCACATTCATTGCACTCATAAGGCCTTTCTCCAGTGTGAACTCTTTGGTGTTGAATGAGGACAGATTTCTCACTAAAAGATTTCCCACATTCAATGCAATCATAAGGCCTTACTCCAGTGTGAACTCTCCAGTGTCTCATGAGGTGGGTTTTACAACTAAATGATTTCCCACATTCAGTGCATTCATAAGGCCTTGCTCTAGCGTGAGCTCTCTTGTGGCGAAGAAGGCCAGAACTTTGGGTAAATGATTTCCCACATTCAATGCATTTGTAAGGCCTTTCGTTAGTATGAACTCTCAGGTGTTTAATAAGGATAGATTTTTGGATAAAGGACTTCCCACATTCACTGCACTCGTACGGCCTCTCTCCAGTATGAACTCTTTGGTGTTGAATGAGGTCAGATTTCTGGCTGAAAGATCTGCCACATTCTATGCACTCATAAGGCTTTGCTCCAGTGTGAACTCTCCAGTGTCGAATGAGATGGGTTTTGCGACTAAAGAACCTCCCACATTCACTACACTTGTAAGATCTTTCTTCGGTGTGAATTTTCTGGTGCTGAAAAGGTCTGTATTTACAGCGGACGTCTTTTCCACATTTGCTACATTCTTCAAGACCTTCTCCATCGTGGAATCTCTGGTGGTCAAGAGTGTGAGTGTTGCTGAAAGCTCTCCTGCATTTGATCCACTTGTGACTTATTCCGCTGGTAAAGGGCTCCCCACACTCAATTCTGCTCTGGGGCTTCTCGCTATTGCGCATATCCAGGTGCTGGAGAAGGCCTGAGGGAGCTAGAAAGTCCTTTCCACCTTCCCCACTGGCAAAGGGCCTTGCTGACACGTGGAATCTGCAGCTCGTCACTAACAAGGCACTGTCCATATCCATTTTGAACATTTTCTCTCCACTGTCATGCTTTTGATACTGGTGAAGGTTTGCACCAAACCAGAAGCCTCTGGTCGCCCCACCCAAGTATGATTTCTGCCCAGAATATGCCGCTTGGAGCTCAGAAGGTTGCAAATTGTCTTTCAAGACTGGGACACAATTCTCACAGAGGTGAGTCTTCTGGATTGACAAACCTGTCTTAGAAGTCCTGACCTGTGACACTCTTTCTACAGAAACACTCTGCTCAGAAGGTACTTCCTCATTCTCTGCTCCACACCAACAATCTGAAAGCAGAGAAATGCTGATAAAGTATACTTTACCTCTGAGGAAGAGAGGGAAGTCCCATCAAAAATGTGTGTCAAAAATATACATTCAAACCAAAGACAGAATCCACGGGTATAATTTCAGAATGGGGCACCAATTTGAAGGGAGGGCTGCTTTGCAGTACTGGGCCTCTAAAGATGACAGAATGAGACCTTTTGGGACAAAGGGCACAAGTAGGGGGTGCCACACAGGGAGGGGAGGCAGGATCACTAATTCACTCCTGTGCCAACAGCCTTCAGCAGGAACTTGTTGTCTGGGGACAAGTCCACGCTACTGAGAACGATGGTTCTGCCCAGGCCCAGGGAAATACCAGTGGAACTGAGTATCTGGTGTTCAAGGACAATTTAAGGATATGTGCACACGTCACAACACATTACGTACAGGAGAAATGCAGACCACGTGGTGGAGAGGAACAAGTGATGGAGGTCAGAAAGCCGGGGACAGCCAGGAATGGAAGTCACAGATGAAATGTGACTCAGAGTCAGAAAAGCGTAGAGTATGCAGAAAAAAGGTATAGAAATGATGTGTCCAGTGGCACCTGCACCAAAACGCTGGTGAACACAGGGCGGGTTCCTGGTATACTTTAAACACAGCCCTGATGTCAGGCCCCTTCCAGCAGCTGCCACTCACCAGGCCAGGCCTTCTCTGAGACCGCCGGGCCAAGTCCACCCTGCGAAGCAGCCAGCACCCTCCTCAGACTCCCAGTTGGAGAACTACGTAGGACCTGAGTGAGGCAAGTCCTTAGGGAAAGACAGGACAGGTGAGGGGTCAGCACCAGCCCAGAGCAACTAGGAAATATCGGACCACAGAAAGGAACACTGCAATTAAAATCTCAAAGGACGGTCTTTCAAGAAAGGTCTAAGGACCACATAAGTAGTGACCATGACGATGTTTACAATTCCTGATATAGGCAATCATAAGGAAATCTTTAAAAGTTCTCATCACAAGGAAAAAATATCTGCAACTCTGTATGGTGATGAACGTTCATTACACATAATGTAGTAAGCATTCTACAACATATACAAGTATCAAATCATTACACTGTATGCCTAAAACCAGTATGTCGCATATCAATTATATCTCAATTTAAAAAAAAAAAAGGAGGAGGCAGAACCTGGGGCACAAGATGCCACGAATCTGGACACAGTCATCCCACCAGGGAGAGGGTGAGCAATGTGAGATCCATTCGGGTGACTGTGGGACTCCCAGATTCCCAGACCCTTCCCTGCACACGGTGGGGTAGCAGGTATCAGGGCGGCTTGCTGAGGGCACCGCTCGGGGCAGTGAACATAGCTTAGCACTGGCACCCACAGCACACATGCCAAGGAAGTGGGGAAGTTAGCAGAGGCCAAGGTTTAGCTCTGGGAGAGGGAGAAAGAGCAGCTCACAACACTGAGAGGAAGATGAAGGCCTTACCCAGGGATGTTGCAAGTGCAAAGGTCTCCAGCATCACGTCGTGGTACAGGAACCTCTGAGCCTCATCAAGGAGCCCCCACTCCTCCTGGGAGAAGTACACAGCCACGTCCTCGAAAGTCACACAACTCTGCCAGAGTGGGGACAGTTCATTCCATAATCAGCTTCTCCCCTAGGATTCCCAAGTTCATCCACCCACTCATCCTTCCCCTGCTCACCCACCTCCCCACGTCCCCATCTCAGAGAAGATACCAGGCCCTGGGGCATCTGATGCACACTGTCTCCTTCTGGTCCCTTTGATCACCATGTCCACCCACAGCAACGACAGGCAGGTGGGCAGGTAGACGATACCAAAACTCTGATGTCAGGCCCCTTCCAGCAGCTGCCACTCACCAGGCTAGGCCTTCTCTGAGACCGCCCTGCCAAGTTCCCCAAGAGGGACACACTCTCTCCTTAAGCAATTCTTCAGATCAGATGTCCCAGACGTAACCAAGGGTGTGGGCTCCCATTTCTCTCTTATGTTCTCAAGGCCAGGGCCCTCGGGCCTTCACTTCCCACTCTCTCCAAGTTCTCCCTGCTCGGTACCACAGGCACCCCCCACCCTTCTTCCATGGCATAGAGTCTGGCAAATTCAAACACGTTCCAGAACTACAGCAGCACACCTCCAATGGTCCCCACAGCCAGAGGCAGCCCAGAGTCCTGCTCCGTAGGTCTCCCTGCCTGACAGCTCCTGGCTTCAACCGCAGCCACACGGAACCACTTGTGGATCTCAGCACTCATGACCCTCCTCCACTCATGCTGCACTTGATCGGCTCTCACCGGTCAAGCCTTCTTCTCTCTGTCCAACCCTCATCCAGAGCCAGTCCCAGAGCCTTTCCACCCCAGGTCCAGAGATTCTCCTACATGAGCACTTGGCCCCCGAGCTAATCCACCTGCCCGACCGAAAGTCCCCAGGCACACCAAGGTCACAACAAAGTCCTGGGGACCCCAGGGCAGTGAGTAAGCAGCAGTCCTGGCCTCACCACCATGTTGCCTCCATTACTCCCACACTCCTGCATCATCTCATGTGCACCCACCTCTCAGAAGCCTTGCTCCCATCAGGTCATCCACTCTCCCGCACTGTTCCCACCACTCCTCTCTTTCACTAACCCACACGCAGACAACTGGTCTGCACCCCCCAACTAGGTGACCAAGCACGAGACCAGCCTCTGACCTCACTCACCCCTTCCGAGGCTACTATTAACATCGTCATGACTGGGATTACCCCTCGTCAACGTGACCCACTGTGTTATGGACCGAATGTACGCATTCTCCCAAAAGTGGTATGTTTGGAGCCCTAACCCCCAGTGTGATGGAATTTGGAGATTTGGAGGTGGGGCCTTTTGGGGTGGTGATCAGATTTTGATTAGGTCAGGAGGGTTTCTTAAGAAACCCTTCTACTTTGTACTCTCTCACCTTCAAAATCAGAAAATCACAGGTCTACTGAAAAAACCTGATTCAGAATCCAGCCATCTCTACCCCCTCCAAGGCCACCGCACTGGTCCACATCATCAGCGCTCACTGGACTACTGCAGTACCCTCCTCCCTGGTCTTCCTGCCACTTCGCTCACTCGCCCAGTCTGTTCTCTGTGCTGCAGCCGCAGGAAGCATAAGAGCTTGAACAGATCCCTCCTCTGCTCCAAAGCTCCCACTGTTCCCACCATCTCCAGAGTAGACACCCAACTTCTCAGGGGGCCATCCCAGGTCTGACTCCTGCCCCTGTGCTCTCTGTTCCCATGAGAAAGGACACTGAGCTACCCTTGTTCAGCTCAGTCTCCCCTCCAAAGGCCTGCAAACACTGGTACAATACTGGGGCAACCGTCCTCCACACCTCATTCTATTGGCTGCCAGCAACAGGAACCACTCCACAGAACCCCCAGCCTGGTCTGAGGACCCTGGGCTTAGAACCTGTTCCCAGTCCCCAGGCCTGGAAGAATGACAAATGAAGAGTGTCAGGACACCACAATCACAGAGATAAAGAGAGGAATCAGGACCAGTGAGGTTCTGGAACACCATCCACTCACTCACCTCTGCAGGGTTCATAAGTGCTTCTGTACTGATAACAGTCTGTGTGAAGAGGAAAGTTCGGAGAGGCAGGTGACCATGGCAGGGCTCCATGGGCTCCGGGCTACCCTGCACCCCTGCCCGGCCCTGGAGCCAGGTGACCTGGGATAACTACAGTCTCTCTGATCCTCAGTCCCCAGAGCTGAGTCTTACAACTGTATGACCTTGGACAGGAACCAAATCCTCCCTGTGCTTCCTATTATCATCCTTCCTCCGGTCTGGTCCCTTTAGCACCTTGTAAAAACTTTTAAAAAGGCTAATTCAGGTGAGGCCTTTCCTGTTCACAATTCTCAATGGCTCCCAGCCTCTGATGGCCACCTGCCAGTCCCCCCGTGACCCCGCCGCACACCCTCTGTTCCCCTGAGGGCAGAGGGAGGACCCCACACCCCCCAATTCCTCCCCCTCGGCGCCCCCTTCAGCCCTGCACCAGCCGGCCCCCTCCCCTGCAGCCCGCTCCCGCACCCTGTCGTGCCAGCGCTCAGACACAGGGTCCCCACACGCGAGCGCCTCCCCGGCCCGGACACCGGTACCTGGACAGCAGGGACGCGAGCAGGCGCCCCGCGCTCGGGCCTGGAGGGTCTGGGGCGGGGGGAGAGGGCCCGGGGGGCGCGCGTTTACCTGAGCCGGGTCCCTGCGCGCGGTCGCCGCCATCTGACTCTGGGCGGAGCGGACACCCGGGCCAGCGGTCCCCGTCCCGGCCCCGGCGCGGGGCAGCCCGGGCGGCGTTGAGGAGTCGCGGACGCCAGTCTGCGCGGCGGGGACAGCGCCTCCCCTCGCGCCTTCTCGGTCCCCTCAGTCTCCACCCGACCTCAGGAGTCCGTGACCCAGCACATACAGCTCAGAGCAGCCAAAACTACCGCCACGAGGAGGACGCCGGAAGTCCCGCCCCGACACGATGGGAACACACGGAATTGCCCTTCTCGTGAGCCTCTATTGGCTAAACGACGACGACGCCCGGCGCAGTGTCCTCTGGGTAGTGTAGTTCTCACAGCACGAAAAGCCCTGGCGCGGGGCGCCCCTCACCCGCAGACTAGGAGGGAGAGGTGCTGAGAGGTGGTGTCTCCGTCTCCCAAGGGCGGGGGAGGGGCCTCGCTCCTTTAAGGGGCTGATCTTAGATTTCTGAGGAGTGTCGTGTGCAGCTGATCACCTAGGTGTTTAGAGAAGTTATTTCGGACTCCTTGAAGCTTAGTATTTTCTCGGATTCTAGAAGTATTATTTCAGATGCTCCCAGTGACTCAGTCCATTCCACAGAGTCGTGCAGACACAAAACGTGGAGCCTAATAGTTTATCTTCTGTCTTTTCAAATGCCTCTAGCCCGAAACGTTAGAGTCAGCTTTGTGAGTTTCAGTACGCTGGGTCAGGAACAAAAGAAAAAGACTCCGCACAGGGACAGGACAGAGAGGAAACAAAGTGTTAGACTGCCGTAGAGCAGGAGGACAAAGGTGAACTCTGTTGTTGGTTCCCACAGAAAATCTCTCTGCTGGCCGTATAGGTAGTGATTGTGTCCAACTCACTGAGGAACACGGGTTTGTATCCATAATATCTGTTACTCCCTATCCTTAGCCACATTTAATTCCTTTTAGGAATCTGGCGAGTATTTAAAAGAAGAGACAACTGTGCTGACAGGGCGAAGCCTGCTTGGGATTCTCTCTCTCTCCCTTTCTCTGCCTCTCCCCTTCTCATGCTCTATCTCTCTCAAAATAAATAAACTTAAGAACAATAATAAAAGGAGAGCCACTTACCAAATGTCATTTTGGAAAAGGACAGTGTCTATAGTGTTCGCCAATATAGGAGCACGTGGGCAAAGAGGATACCAGACTATGAAGTAAAGGTTTGGGACACTAAGATCTCATCCATTTGACGGGAAGTTATTATCGTTCCTGCTGCTACTGCAGGGATGGTGTCTGTATGGGGAGTTGAGATGATCTCAGAAACAGTTGTGAAATGAAAATCACTGAAACCCATTAATAATGGTTATGTAGTCATTCAGGGATAGTGGCAGGATAGCGCTGGGAAAATATCAGTAAAAAGTAAAAAAAGAAAAAAAAAGTTAATACTCCTACCAACTTCCATTAGCAAATTATGCCCGGAAAAGAAAAACATGTATATGCCAACAATGGCTATAAAGCAGCTGTGAGTTAAACACATTTTCTTACTGATCCTCACTTCACGCATAATGAAGGCTTCAGAGTGGATATTGTGAGGATCAGTCAGTTTGGACAGAGACAAAAGATGAACTCAGGCTATCAGAGAGAACGCAGAAAAGTAGGTAGCCCTAAAGCACGTAGAAGAGGATGACATGTCTCTGGGTCCCTCAGACACCATCCACGTGCCTCTCCTTGTATTTATGTCCCAACTCAAGCAAGAAGTATTGATTTTCCAGACAGTATTTCTTTATTATTTTCATAATATGTTCTTTCTTAAATTTGACACTTATCTGGAAATCGTATTTACCACATCCCCATTTGTTGCCAGGATGGTGGTTGTCATGGTGGTATCCACATACATGTAAAAATAAGTATATGAGCCTTGAAATAAAGGCCTGTGTATCTGTCATCTCATCTCTTTCTGGGAAGTTATTATCATTTCACCTCTAACTGATGTGACTGCATATCTCAATAATTAAAGATATGTATTCTCCCCGGTATTATTGAGATAAATATCAATAGCAGGTGACCAAAGGACCTTCCATTCTATGAAACAAGGTAAAATAGTGAGCAGATTGCATTCTGGGTTCCTGCCATCCTGAGGGCTTCTCCAAATGTGATATTTTAAAATTCCCATGGACAGTTAAAAATAGCAGATTTCAGGGGTGCCTGGGTGGCTCAGTCAGTTAAGCGTCCGACTTCAGCTCAGGTCATGATCTCATGGTTTGTGAGTTCAAGACCACATCAGGATCTGTGCTGACAACTCAGAGCCTGGAGCCTGCTTTGAATTCTGTGTCTCCCTGTCTCTCTCTGCTCCTCCCCTGCTTGTGCATTCTCTCTCTCTCTCTCTCTCTCTCTCTCTCAAAAATAAACATTAAAAAAATACCAGATTTGAGGGATACACAGAGAAAGAGAATTAAGAAAACTTTTCCAGGGTAATAAAAATGAACAAGGAGACAGTGGTGTCTCATTTTGTTATTTCAATAAACATTTATTGTGGTGCGCCTGGGTGCCTCAGTCGGTTAAGCGTCCCACTCTTGATTTTGACTCAGGTCATGGTCTCATGCTTCGTGAGTTCAAGCCCTGCATCAGGCTCTGTGCTGACAGCACGGAGCCTGCTTGGGATTCTCTCTCTCCCTCAAAATAAATAAGTAAACATTAAAGAAACATTTACTGAGTATATGTGGTACATTAATCTTTTTATTGGGTGTGCATAATGTGTCAGGAAACAAATGAGATAACAAACCATATTTCATGTTGCTTATAATCATATTAAGGATATTAATAAAAATAAATATAAACAACATACTATCTTTTAAGTGAACAGGTGCTTTGAAACAGAAAAAAAAAAGATAACAATGATGAGAAGTGCAAGAGAGTGACTGCAGATGGGTTGTGATATCGAAGAGGGTTTGTCAACTATTCCTCAATAAAACTGGAGAAAAAGAGAATTGAGTGGGATGCTCCACTAATAAAAGCATATTTAAGGAATGCTTTGAAGACCGTGGAGTGAACTCTGTGTATAGCCTTGTGTTCCATAGAGGAAACAGCTAGAACAGATGCCTTGGGCCAGTGCTGACCTTTCATGTTCCAGTCAGAGTAAGAAAGATAATGCAACTGAAAGCATGTGAGTGAGGAACGGCTTGATAAAAGCTACAGTTGGATCATGAAAGTCACTGTAGATCACTGGAAGAACTTTCCATTTTATCCTGGTTGATAGAGGAATCATGACAGGGACTGGAACATCATGCTAAGTGTCTGAATGAGAAATGAGGAGAAGGCAGGCTGAGAACCTAAAAAGAGGTAAGGTTAGCAGCAGATAGATGACTAGCCGGGTGACTTATCACAGACATCTAGGTGAGAGGTAATGAGGTCTGCAATCAAAGTTGGGGCAGTACTGGACACAGTATCATTAGGTACTCGATGTGTTTTGAAGTTATTTCTTTTCATCCCTAAGGGATTTTCAATTGGGTTGCTCAATTGGCATGAGCAAAGGAAAGGTACAGAATATGACTCCCAAACTTCATACATGAACAGTAGTAGAATGAGGGACTTGCCATCAGCTGAGATTGTGGGAAAGCAGTAGAAACAGGTTAGGAGGGAAGATCGGGAATTCAGACACCAACATAGTAAGTACAAGATGCCTGTTGAGCATGTGAATATAGCTGTCAAGTCGGCAGGCAAATCTCAAGAATTTTCGAGAGCAGTGTTGTCAGGATTAACTCTGAACACTGTTAGTTTGTAAGCTTCTAAGTATCGAAAAGACGAGACTGGATGAGATGACCAAGGGGGTAACTTCAGGTGGAGTAGGTGAAAGGAAAATAGACCGGTGTGCAGGGAAATCTCAACACTAATTTTGGGTGGAAAGGAGAAACAGAGAAAGAGATTTGAAAATTACCAACTATTTCTCAGTTGGACAGTCACAAGTCTCTTATGTCTGTCTCAGCCTATCAAAAGTGACTCTACTGCTATTAATGCCCGAGGTCCTTCCTTGGGCCATCGTACTGGTGGTGAGCCCCATGGAGCCAATGTTGGTAGGTGGACTGGCTCTTACAGTTCTTATTATGACTGCAAGTTGCGCTTCAGCAAAAACCATGAGGGAACTTCAAAGGACAAGATTTCTTCCTCACAGGTCCCAGAGGGTACAAGTCATGCCAAGGGCCACATAGCGGGTCAAGGGTAAAGAGGGAGAGAGGAAGCTCCGACCCGGGGCTCTGCCTTTATTGGTGCCCAAGGGCGGGGTGCCCAGGTTTTGCAGGTGGATTTAAAGAAGAAGAATGGGCTGGACACTAGGGTTTCAAGAGAGAAAAGCGAGGTCCCAAAGGCAATCAGTTCTCCAGGTTATTCATGGCTTTCTAAAGGAGGAACTTAGTTGTTTTGTTAGTAGCTGTGTTGTACGGTAGGCAATATGTGTATTTCAGATGGATGTCTTTGCAATGGATGCCTTGGCAATCAAAAGCTTAATCTGCATTATAATCCTCATGCTTACTGTCAGGCACTTATGCCACACAAGTCTTAAGACACGAGGGGATTTAGAAACCTGTTTGTGCCTTCGGTGCGCCGTGGTGGCTCAGTCAGTTAAGTCCGACTCGGGTCTTCCGGCCTCATCACCTTGGGCGGGACCCCACACTCCGCAGGCCGTGCGCGTGCGGACACCACGGTAGCGACGCCGGAAGCCCCGCCCCCAGCCTACGCCTAACACAGAAGCACTCCATTCGGAACGCTCATTGGCTTAGCGTCTCCGCTGGGCAGAAGGCTTTTTCGGATGGTGTAGGGCCACTGCTGGTCTCCGCGAGGGGCGCTCCGCACTTGTCACTGCGGAGCAAAGGTCACCGGCCCCGCGAGGGTCTCTGGGAAGTAGCGCTGCTTTGTCCGAGGGCAGAGGCTGAGCTCCGCTCCCCAAGTGGGCTGAAACCCAGTTTCTGCGAGTCTTGTGGGCAGGTGATCACCTAAGTGTTTAGACGTGTATTTCTCCAGACTCCACCGGGCTTGGATGCTCCCCGG